AAAAATAATAATAATAATAATAATAATATTAAAAAAAAAAAACAAATATAGCTGGGCATTGTGGCAGGTGCCTGTAGTTCCAGCTGAGGCAAGAGAATTGCTTGAGCCTACGAGTTTGAAGTTGCTGTGAGCTATGACGCCATGGCACTCTACTGAGGGCAACATAGTGAGACTCTGTCTCAATAAAAGAAAAAAAAAGACTACTTCTGAATGGATAGATCATTTATTTTTAATTTTTTCTTGTATGTATTTTCCAATTTTCTGACATGTGGATTACCTGTGTAGTAGGTAACTATGGAGAAGTTAATAGTAGGTGGGGAATGTACTATTTATATGTACCTTTAACTTACTCTTACTTCCTTACAGCTCAGGAGGCAAACCTGTGACTCCCAAGACAAACGTTTTGGAGTTTAAAGGGGTTATTTGGGCAATCGTTAGAGGAAGTTAGGAACCTAGATAGTTTGAATGTGCAGGTGTGTTTATATCTTAGTCGTGTACTTGATTTCCTCAATGTATAATTGTAAAACTCTGATATAACTCCATAGCCTGGAGACAAATACTGTGGTCCAGACTTATAATGCAGGACGTCCTGTGTGGAGCTGTTGTTGGTGCCTTGATGAGAATAATCACATATATGCTGGACTGGCCAATGGTTCAATTCTTGTATACGACTTGCGAAACACAAGCTGCCATATCCAGGAGTTAGCACCTCAAAAAGCCAGGTAGGGAGCCATCCACTTTTTTTCCTGTAGGTAGAGGATTTCTCTTGGATTGTTAATGTGTTAATCCTTACTCCAGGGGTTGTCGCATGGTTTGTCAAGAGATCTTCCCAGAGGGGAATTCTCTAAGATCTCACTTCACAACCAGTAAGATCCTTAGAATTTGTGTTTGTGATGTTTCACATGATGGAAAGTGCTGAGACTGGATATAGCCAGGTTCATAAGAGTCAGTAATCATCTAACATAGCAAAGTATGTAGAGTCTGGATGGATGTTCAGAACCCAGCTCTACCACTTGTAGCTGTGTGACTTGGGTTGTGTTCCTCAGCCGTCTGTTAGCTTCATCTATAAAATCTAGTTGACATAGTTTTGCTTGAATAGACATATGTCCAGCACATAGGAAGAGATTAATAAAGGATAGCCTAATAAAAAGGGATCCAACACTTCCCTAATTTAAAAGCTAACCAACTTAGTTTGAAGATATCTTATTATTATTATTATTTATAATCCAGCTAAGTAAGCGATTGGGAGAATGGGTAAAGCAAGCCCATATTCCGAGGGTGGATGTCACCATTGTGGCTTCCCAGAACCTGTTGAGTGCCATTTGGATCGTCCTGGAGTATAAAGTTCTGAAAAGGGGAGTGGTATCTTAAGAAAAGATTTCTATTTCCAGTTTGAATATATATTAAAAGGAACCAAGAGGATTTAAACATACAGATACTGTAATAATTTATTTACCAAAACCTAGGCTCAGTACTTTTGGATTTTTTTCATTTGGGTGAGGTAGAATCTTATCTCAATGATGTGGTCCACGGGCATGAAGATAATTAGTGTGAAATAACTGCCATCAAGGTAGAAAGATCCATGTAGACTACCAAAGGGTGACAAAGTGAGACTATGTCTCCAAAAATAAAAAGAAAAGGATCCATGTAGAGTGGACAGTTAAATACAGAATACAGCAGGTTTAGGCTCAGCGCCCGTAGCACAGTGGTTATGGTGCCAGCCACATACAACAAGGTTGGCAGGTTTGAACCCTGCCCAGGCCAGCTAAACAACAATGACAACTGCAATAAAAAATAGCCAGGCATTGTGGTGAACACCTGTAGTCCCAGGTACTTGGGAGGTTGAGGCAAGAGAATTGCTTAAGCTCAAGATTTTGAGGTTGCTGTGAGCTGTGATGCCACAGCGCTCTACTGAGGGCAATATAATGAGACTCTGTAGATAAATAAATATAGCAAGTTTAAAAATAGCAGGGCAAAATTTGTATCATTCATTTTTATTTGGATTTTTACCTTCCATGTAACTAGGAAAATGAAATCAGGTATGGTCATTTTGGCAAATGCAGCTGAAACAAGTCCATAGGAGTAGCCTGTAGGCTGATACTTCTGAGAGGATTCTTGGCATATAGTCCTGGTCATATGCTTATAGAAATAAATTTAGAAAATCTTAAAAAAATAAAATTTATATGCTTTTGGCTACATTTTTATTGTAAGGTCTGTTATTTACAGCTGGAGATCTTTTTTTATTATGTATATATGTGTATAAGCTTTGTTTCCTTCCTGACTTTTCTCTGTGTGGCTCACCCCATTTTCTTTCTTTCTTTTTTTTTTTTTTTGAGATGGAGCCTCAAGCTATCCGCCTGGGTAGAGTGCTGTGGCATCACGCTCACAGCAACCTCCAACTCCTGGGCTCAAGCGAGTCTCCTGCCTCCGCCTCCCAAGTAGCTGGGACCACAGGCGCCCGCCACAATGCCCAGCCCTGGAGACAAGAGTCTTTTTTTTTTTTTTTTTTTGAGACAGAGCCTCAAGCTGTCCCCCTGGGTAGAGTGCCCTGGCATTACAGCTCACAGCAACCTCCAACTCCTGGGCTCAAGCGAGTCTCCTGCCTCCGCCTCCCAAGTAGCTGGGACCACAGGCGCCCGCCACAACGCCCAGCTATTTTTTGGTTGCAGCCATCATTGTTGTTTGGCGGGTCCGGGCTGGGGATTCGAACCCGCCACCTTAGGTGTACGTGGCTGGTGCCTTAGCCGGGTGAGCTATAGGCGCCGAGCCGAGACAAGAGTCTTAACTCTGTTGCCCTTGGTAGAATGTAGTAGTATCATCATAGTTTACAGTGACCTCAAACTCTTGGGCTCAAGAGATCCTCCTGCCTTAGCCTCCTAAGTAACTGGGACAACAGGCACCCACCAGGATGCCCAGCTTGTTTTTCTATTTTTAGGAGAGACGAGATTATGCTCTTGCTCAGGCTGGTCTTGAACTCTTGAGCTCAAGCAATCCCTCCACCTTAGCCTCTTATAGTACTAAGGTTATAGGCATGAGCCACTATGCCTAGCCTATTGTTATTTTCATTTCTTTTAGAGCATCAGTATTTCCCCTGGAATTAGTTACAGGATATTAATCTCTGTATGTGGGTTTTGTTTGTTTGTTTGTTTGTTTTGCAGTTTTTCGCTGGGGCTGGGTTTGATACCACCACCTCCAGCATATGGGGCCGAAGCCCTACTCCTTTGAGCCACAGGAGCCGCCCTTTTTTTTTTTTTCCCCAAACAGTTTTACTATGTTGCCCTCAGTAGAATGCTGTGGCGTCACAGCTCATAGCAACCTCAAACTTGGGCTTAAGTGATTCTCTTGCCTTAGCCTCCGGAGAGTAGCTGGGACTATAGGCGCCCCCCACAACACTCTGCTATTTTGTTGTTGTTGTTGCAGTTGTCAGTGCTGTTTGGCAGGCCCAGACCAGGTTTGAACCTGTCAGCCTTGGTTCATGTGGTTAGCACCCTCGCGGCTGAGCTACAGGTGCCTATTTGCCCTTTTTTATGTATAGAGAGCACTGATAGTTTTTATCAGATGTCAGTGGATATGTCCTCTTTTGTAGGGGGAGAGTTTTTATCAGATGTCAGTGGATATGTCCTCTTTGTAGGGGGAGGAATAAGCTTGAGGGCTGCTAGTAGTGGAGTTTGGAACAGTCCAAGTTTTGGAATGTGAGACATAGTTTCCTTTCTTTCCCTGCAGATGCCCACTGGTATCCCTGTCATACATACCCAGAGCTGCCTCAGCTGCATTTCCATATGGTGGGGTGCTGGCTGGAACCTTAGAGAACGCTTCCTTCTGGGAAATGAGAACAGGCTTTACTCATTGGCCTCATGTGCTGCCCTTGGAGCCAGGGGGCTGCATAGATTTTCAGACAGAGAGCAGCACCCGGCACTGTCTTGTGACCTACAGGCCTGGTGAGTGTTGGAGCATCCTTGTGGGGTTTTTGGGAGCAGATGGTAGAGAGGAGGGAAGAAGAGCTTAATCCTACCCATTAGGGCTGTGGTAAGCTCCTCCGAGGGTAACAGGTTAGTGGCTCCAAGTTCCTTGGTCAAGCCTGCCTCTCTGCTCCTTAATTGTGAGAACTGGAACAACATGTAGGGGGCCCTACAACTTAAAATAGTAATGGAATGAGGTGGCCAGTTCTTGAGGCTCTTGAGCCACCCTTAAATCAGTTTCGTGTCTTCTGCCTGTTCCTTGGTTCACCTAAGAGAAATGAAAACCCTTGGGTTTGGCAGTGCCCATAGCTCAGTCGGCAGGGCGCTGGCCCCTAAGGTGGTAGGTTCAGACCTGGCCTGGGCCTGCTAAGCAGCAATGACAACTGTAACCAAAAAAAAAAAAAAAAAAAACTGGGTGTTGTGGCGGGTGCCTGTAGTCCCAGCTACTTGGAGGCTGAAGCAAGAGCTGGAGGTTGCTGTGAGCTATGACGCTATGGCACTCTACAGAGGGCGATAAAGTAAGACTCTTTCTTTCTTTCTTTCTTTTTTTTTTTTAAATTAAATCCGCTGTGTACATTAATGCAGTCATAGGGTACAGTGTGCTGGCTTTATATACAATTTGAAATATTTTCATCAAACTGGTTAACATAGCCTTCATGGCATTTTCTTAGTTACCGTGTTAAGATATTTATATTCTGAATTTCACATGTACCGTCATAAGATGCACCGTAGGTATGGTCCCACCAGTTACCCTCTCCCCTCCCCCGTGTATATGGCTAGCGCCCTAGCCACTTGAGCTCCAGGCACCAATTCTCAACTAAAGATTCTTTTCTTTCTCTCTTTTATTTATTTTTCTCTTGCCTCAGCCTCCCTACTCAGACACAGGCACTGCCCTTTGTAACTATTGTGAATGGTTTAATGCACTTATGACTTTTCCATCACCAGGTGTTCAGGTACTTGATTAATTTCTTTTGTATCTTTTTCCTATAGATAAAAACCACAACACCATACGAAGTGTGCTGATGGAGATGTCTCACACTCTAAGTGACTCTGGAGAGCCAGTCTGCTCCTGCCGTCCCGTACAAACTTTCCTTGGGGGACCCACTTGTAAACTATTGACAAAAAGTGCCATTTTCCCAAACCCAGAGAATGACGGCAGCATTTTGGTGTGTACTGGCGATGAAGCATCAAATTCAGCCATGGTGAGCCTATCATTTGTTTATTTTGTACAAATATTTGTAAAGGAAAACTTGATCTTTCATATCTGTGTCTGTGTGTGTATAGACTTGGTTACACTTTTTTTTTTTTTTTTTGAGACAGAGCCTGAAGCTATCCCCCTGGGCAGAGTGCCGTGGCATTACAGCTCACAGCAACCTCCAACTCC